CCGGCAGGATAATTACAAAGTTCGCCCTCCTCCTTCACCTCCTCCTCCCTTCGAGCACAGCTTGCCGGTGTCCGTTCTGACGAGAGCTATCGGCTTTTAATAATCGCCCCGTGAAACTCGTTAAGATTCCCGCCGGTTAATCGACGTAATACGCGCATTTCTCTTCTAATTGGCGAAATCGAGGTCTCAATCGGGGCGAAACCGGCTCGTTTCACCCAACAAGCCTCCTCTCCGCGTCGAAAATCAACCTGGGAAGGAATTGTAAGGAACACACGGGGGGGAATATCTCCCGCGGAGTTATCAACGTCGTCGTCGTCGGTTGAGGTAAATTTTCTTTACCGAGGTGGCTGGCGGGCTGTTTTCGAGGCCAGGAATTCCACCACCCCTTTAAATCTTCCCCCTCCTCGGTGAACGTGGACGCGAGTACACGGTCAGAACGGTCGTTTAAATAGGAGATTAATTCCTGAGAACCTTTTAGCGTGATTTCGGTGATCGTTTATAGCCGGCCCCGGCCATGTAGGTATTGCAGTGACATACGACCGTCGCTTAAGTTAATAGTCGATGCGTTAACACCGGCTGACTGTTATTAAAGAAAGACAGACAGGCCCCTCTACGTGCGTTCGTCGCCCACGCGTAAACGCGACACTCGTCGCCTAACGTGACTGAATGCATCCATATGATATACGTGTGTGTATGCATGTGTGTGAAAGGGAAAAGAGAAGAAATATAAATCCTCCTTCGACGAGGATAATCGAAGGTATCGCGCGAGAGCGGACGTATTCCACCGAGGGACTTATAACACGATCGGGTGCCAAGACACCAAGTATTATCCCATTAGAATAAATGCAAAGTAGAGCTCTGCCTTCTACCATCGAGATGTACCCCGAGTCCCTCTTCGTCTCGCCCACCGATTTTCTCCCCTTCGTCCTTTTCTCTCTCGTCTGTTCTCTCTCTTTGTCTGTCTGTTTGGTACAGGTTCGCGTCGGGTCTGGCGCAAGGGTGGAAAATGGGAGGCAGTCGGAGCGGTAGGGCGCGCATTTACATGATATGAATATAATGGAGAGGGCCGGGTCGCTGGCAAACCCGGACGACGAGAGCGCTACCTGTTGAACGGAGAGTTCAAACCCACGGTGACCTACAGGATATATTCGACCGGGCTGGACCGGCGCCCCAAACCTCCCAAGTCGCTATAGTTCGACCCTGTCTCGTTCAGCTGTGTTCTCCTCGTGTTCACGAATGCTCGTTAACTCCAACCCTTTTTTTCCCTCGTGTCCAAGGAAATTAGCCGTATATTTCCAGCGTCTGTGTCTGACACGATTGTTTTCGTGGAATAAATGTTAATCGAAGTAACTATCGGGGGACAGGTGTTTAAATATCAATTCTAAGCACCGTGGAGCAGCGTGTGACAGGATCGACTTCCGTGAGAAGAAACGATCGTTTCGGCGTAGGTCCCGGTGGAATTACGCGAGAAAACTGAAGAGGAAATGTCACCTGTCCAATTAAGGGCCATTCTCCTATCGGCGATACGATCGGCGCGCGACCAACCGTTCCACGAAACGGAGACAAACGTCGTCGTCAAGCATAAATATGTATAGAAGCGAACGCGTGTCATTCAGACTCCGGATGTTTCCCTCCTTTTCCACGATTCTCCTTCACTCCTATACCTCATCGAACAATCACCGATCCCTTCTGCTAGATTATACCCCCGTCGAACGAGACGTAGCCGTATAACTCAATAGACACGCGTCACCGTGCATTTCAATGCTGTTCGACCGGCGCCTCGTTCAGTTTCCTGAAAAACCAGACGACGATCACGGTCCGGAGTTTAATTCACGTCTTCGCGCTGTACCGTTTCTTTCCTCGTTTAATCGCCTCCCCGACACTGTCGAACGGCGACGTGTTATTTTTTTCGAAGCCACGATGTTGCAATTTCGAGAGAAGAGAGGAGGAGGAGGAGAAGGCACGAGCAATCGTCTCGTAAAAATGGTTCTGGAGCAGCTTTCTCGAGAGACGGTGAAATAAAGGACAGGGGAATAAAGAGGAGCCCCAGGCGGCTGGAAGAAGAGTCGAACAGCGGAGTCGAGAAACGGAGGAGAGAAGCGTGAAGGCAATATAAAGGGCCAATAAAATCACGACGGTTAACAATACGGGCGGACATGGCCCATCCCACATTCACCCTCTACGTCGTCTCTCTCTCTCTCTCTCTCTCTTCTTTTCTTACACCCTGTACTTCTTCACCTTACACGTCCGCGACTCGCGCACCCTTGGTCAATTTTATCCTGTCGCGTCAGCTTCTCTAGCTTAGCAGAGGACTCGAACCGGCGAGTGAACTGAAATTTCCAAGTTTGCCGGTGCAAGCCCATCGGGAAATTGACGCGATCGCGATAAGACGAAAGTAGAGAAGTGGGGAGGAGATATCGGAAAGAAAGCTCGTCGCCTGGGCGTAATAAAGAAGCGCGACAACAGCGGTGTGCAGAACGCGTTCCGTTCGCTTTGATTCTCCCGATAGCGGTGGGCGAATGTTGGCCGAATATTCATGAAGTTGGAGAAGGTAACGGGTACGATACTCGTATTCAGACGACTCTCTTCGAGAGTTGGCTCCGTCAAAGAGAAGGAAGAGGAACCGGATAGTTTGCGAGAGTGCCGCCGGTGGTACACGGAAACCAACAACGATCTCTCGAGGAGAACGAGGAAATATCGAATGAGAGGGACGAGGGGCGAATCATGCTCGAAACGAGACAAGTTTCGCGGCTCTCTCGAGGCCCGAAATAAATTCGCAAAGCCGTTTCACAGACGATTGTCTCCGCCGTGCCGCTTCGAGCAATGAACGCGCGACGTTCTCTCTCTCGTTCTTTCGTCCGGTTGAGACCAGTAGTCGTACAAAGGAGTGAGGCATCTACGCCCCGAGCCTGCGATTAATTTCAATTCTCGCCGCACGGCCACTTCCTACGAGACGGTAAACAACGATTCCAAAGAATCTCCCCGCGCGAGCAACGGAGAATGGATAGAGGAGGAAGGACGCGAGGCGCCACACTCCCCCAAGACGAGTCCATCGGAATCGTTCGCAGCCGGGTCACGATCATACGTTCGAGGACCCATCTCACCGTACGTCGCTATCCATTAACGATATACGCTGCCCTCTTCGACAGTTTAAAGCTCGATCGCCGGCGTTTATCGTCACGGAGGAGCAACCTGACCGGAGGACGCGTTCCGCGCAATTTCTAACCGAGACTGACGAGATTACTCGCGACTATTTCCACTTCCAGATAGAGGAATTTGATTTTTTCGTAAGTATGGAAGCTTATCTTTCTTTGGTGCGCAGGTAGATGCAAAGGTGCGAATTTAATAAACGGGGTAACCTAATCTCAGGTACTGTAAGGATAGTTTCACTCGGTTGCTGATTACGAGAACGTAGATAAACACGAGCTGGTGTAAATCTTTCTGTAAGCACAGGCTTTTGCGCTTGTACTATGACATTACGCGTACTCCACGTCCCATTAAAATTCTTTTTCAAGCAACCACGGTGTTCGATATTTTATAATTCCCCTGACCGCGAAAGGTAATAACGATCCCAGAAGAAACGTTCGCCGATAAAAATCATCGCATCCCTCTTCGTTCTACCTACCGCCTCTGCTAAGTGCCACGATTAAACACTCGCATTACCGACTCTGCATAACCTGCACATTCCCGAGCCAGATTTTTCTCGAGGAAAAGGAGGGAAAAGGAGAAAAAAAAAACTCGTTGCCGGGGAGTCGGTTCTCGCCAGAGTTAGCCTTCTCTCCTTCTTCCCATGTAATTCTCGGTTCGATCGCGGCGATTGAGAAAGCCTCGATTTCGCGATAGATCGTTATTAACCGCGCCGCTCGTAATTACTCCCAACTAATAACTTGCGCCAGCGCGGACAAGACCGATCGTGCACCACCGTCGACGCGATCGCCTAACGCTCACGAATACTAAAACACGGAGCCAGCTGTAGAATGCCATTGGACTTCGCAACGTCCAGCCCGGGGCTGAGGTTTGTTAAACGTCCGCTGGGGTCTTGGCTAGGGTTAAAGGGAAAACACGGATATCCTAGGTAGGAGAGACTAAAGAGAGTGTTTTTTTCCGACCGCGTAAACCGCACGCGATTTATGCCCGACCGAACGCTCTCACGCGAGGCTACGACGCTTTTCATTCCGCTGTCGAAAACGCGTGCCCGGAGATCAAAGCTCCAGACGCCTTAAGAAAACCTTGGCTCACTCGTAACCGTCTACTCTACAACGCCCAGCCACCTTTCAAATTGTTCCCCGTGAATCCGCGATTGTTCGCGGGGGAACAAGCAACCCCTCCAACCCCTTTCAGGCAACGCGCGTCACGCGCGTGAGAACCGGGGAAAAATTGCGCGCCAGTTGGTCGCAGGAACTCTGCGTTCTCTTTCAGGGTGATTCTCCCTCGCTCTCTCTCTCTCCATTCTACACGGGGTATTTTAAGAGCGATGTTTAACAAAGAAACTACGAATTGTCATCTGTACAGTGGCTGGAGACCTGGCTTTCTGAATAAAACGATCGTTAGTGTCGAGAAGCGAAACAATGGGGACAATTCGCTGTACGTTAAGAACCTTGCGAGCCCTGCGATACGTTATTGTATTTATACACGGTGTTTTATACTCGGAGCGTGATAAAGATTCGTGGTTTAAAGGGAGAGAGAGCGAAAAATACTGTTTCACGCGAAAATTCCGCGTGACGGCGATCCATCTTGGTGAACGATAAAGTTCCCGTCTAGGTTGGCGAACGGGGTAAAACGCGTCTAGCCGAAGGAGGCGTCACGTAAACAAACGGTAGCCACCAGACGGTGGACAATTACAGATAGCCAGAAGGAACAATGACCAGCGAAGAACGAGAGACGGGTGTCGTAAATCTAAACGGGTCTGGCGCGGAGGGGGAGAGAAAACGGACACACAGGTGGACGCGCGTGATCACGAGTACACACGGGTATATAAAGCAGCGGATTGAGTAACTGACCTTGCGAAGAAAGCCGCGGCTGCGCTTGCCTGCGCCGGCGTCCCTGGTACCCCGCTCACGTTGTACGAGTACTTGGTCTCCTGGTACACTTGATACGCGTTCTGTGGCTTCGAGTGCGCCGATCGGTGATAATAGTGATCGGCGTACACGCTCTTCTCCGGCGGACGTTCACCGGTGACCTTGGACAGGCCGTAACTCTGCATCGCGGACGAGGAGGACGAAGAGGACGAGGATGTCTTCGAGTGACACTTGTCGTGGCCGTTCTTCTCCGGTCCGTGTAAATGAGATTTCTCGTGGGCCGAGACCGCTGTCGCCGGTTTGTCGATGGTACCGTACGACTTGAAGTCGTAACCACCCTTCAGTTCGCCGTAGTACTTGATATTCTCGACCTTGAACCCGTGACCAACATCGTGACTCTTCGACTTGGCCGACTCCTGGGCTGATTTCATTCTATCGGCACACTTCCCGATCACTCCCGGCTCGACAGCGTGAAGGATCGCCTTGGTCGTCGTCGTCGTCGTCGTCGTCGTCGTCGTAGGCTTCTCGATCTTCAACATCGATCTTTCACACAAACGACCTTGCACCGCCTCGCTCGCCTTCAACAGAGACTCCACGGCACCCTTGTACCTGTCGCACGTCGACGGTTCGCATGGCACACCGGGACCACCGTGACAGACATTGCCGGGAACGGCACCGCAACCACCACCCGCGACTACGCAACAACGATTCTGATGATGATACGAGGAACACGACGGTTTCAACGATTCCACGTGGCACCTAGACGACGATATCACTTCGTTCTCGTCGTGAACATCTTGTTGATAGGACGTGTCCTCTTTGCACAGGCTGTTGTTATTGTTATTCGGGCAACGCGTGTCGCAGGACTTGTACGGAAGCCGCGACCGCGACGAAGGACCGCGTGTTGCTTCTCGCGCGGTTGGCGTGATACTGGCTAGATTAGAGGGCGTCTCGGCGCCATGAGTGCCACCGGTTCCCCTGCTGGAGTTACCACCACCGCCGCTGCCGCCGCCGCCACCACTGCTACCGATGCCTACACTCCCTCCTCCTACAGCTCCACCACCTCCTCCTCCTCCTTGTCGTTTGCCCCTCTCCTCCTGTCGAATTGATAACGTTACACGTAACCGCTAATCGTCTCGAGCTCGCGATCGTGGTCATCGAGGGAAACCGGAAATGCAGGTGAAATGGGGGGACAGAAGGAAGCGTTTCGGTCAGCAGGCTTGTCTTATTAGTATTGAATAGTAGGAGACGTGTGTCGAATCTGAATTCCTTCGATTCTTATGCAAAGCGTGCTGCGTGTGTCTCGGGTGGTAATGGAGGAGATAAAGCGAAGGAGAAATTGATACGAATGTGGCGTCGAGGATGATTCCAACGCTACGAAGTTTCTATGCGTTTTACCGTAGCAGCGAGACAATATTTATGTATAAAATTGATAGATAGCATCTAAACTTTTGTATCATTTTTTTATATACGCCACTGCTGACGAGAATTTCCAGACAATTATATCGAGCAAATTAACTCACCTGAACACGTTTATAGTCGTCCTGCCTCCTAGCCACCTCCGAGTACTTTGGCGGCGGCTCGGTCCTTGGAGGCGTCTCTTGGTACCTAGGCGGCCGATCGAACTGTCTGTACTTGGGCGGATCGATGTAAGGATTATTCTGATGCCTGTAATAATTCGGCAGCTGACACTCGGTGAGATCGGACTGGGACCTATTCAGCTGATAATTCGGCGGCGCGACGTTCGTCTTCTGTTCCTGATGGCCTGGCTGCTGCTGCTGCTGCTGCTTCACGTGCTTCCCTGGGACAACTTTTTCTTGACCACCGTGCATTTTCTCCCGCTTCTCCTTACAACCCTCCACTTTTCCATCTTTCGTCTTCTCTTGCGTCGCCGGTCCATCGATCTCGTAAAAGGTCAGCTCCTTTTTCCCCTGACTCTTCTCCACCACCATCGAACGATGAGCCTTCGAATGATGCTGAAAGTTCTCCAGTTTCACCGGCGGATCGATCTGATAGAACGTCAATTCACGCGAGTCCTGCGACTTCGAACGAGCCTCGTGCGTCGAATAGTGCTGTTTCTCCGGCTGAGAGTGACTCCTCGCGTACCTCTGATCGATCTTGCTCGCGCCTTCTTGATGCCTCGACGATAATCTCGCGAACCTCTCGTTCGGACCAAACCTGACCGAGTTCCTCCCGTACTCCAAGTACTCGTCGCCGTACTTGAACACCTGCCGCGGCTTGTATTTCTCCTCGTACTGCGAGTAGTTGTACGTATTGAAGCCCACCTGATTGAAATTTCGGCTGAGATTCGACGAGTCGTAATCGGTCGACGTGACCGCCTCCATGTTTATCTGAAACCGATCGAAACGGAGATCGTTGGTTTTTTTTTCATACAAATCCGCGAGATACGTAAGTGAAATTCTAGAGAGAGAGAGAGAAATGAAATAAACGAGAAAGAAGATACAAGTAGGATCTAAGAGAGGCAGAGGCGCGCGGATCGAGCAGAGAGAAAGCGAGTCAAGGGCGCTCGACACGGTGCAAAGAAGAGGAACTCGAGGCGGACCATAAATCGGGGAACGTCTTACTCCTAAATGCCCAGGGTATTTACCGTGAAACAAAAAGCCACGCCGCGATAAATAAAATCTGACACCGAGGGGGCGTGCCTGTTCGCCTCTCGTCCCTCTGTTCCGCAGGATAAAGCCGCCTCGCGCTTCTTCTTCTATCTTTCGTTCTGGACCAGAGGAAAGTCGAGTTCTCCTACGAACCCCGTGATTCGTTCAGCCTTTGGAGAGGGTTGCAGGCTCTCCCTTCTCCCCTCCCGCCGTGCATCGCTACCTCTGCTCTTGGCCCTCCGAATTCCACGTCGAAAATCGAGTCGCGTTCGAGGAACCGGTTCGCACCTCCGAAGGCCAATCGATTGCGCGTGTATGTGTGTAAGCGTCGCGAGAGAGCTGCTTTCACGATGCACCCGTGATCACGAGTGTTCCTCCTCCTCCTCCTCCTCCTCTACCTTCTTTTCTTCTCTTCTCTTTTTCTCTCTCTCCTCCAGCGTTCTCGAGCCCTTATCCCCAGAATACGCTGCGAGGCAGAGGAGGTCGATGGAAGATCGCGATTAGACGATTCAACCAACTCCCGGGGAGAGAATCTTGGTCCAATATCGTGAATTAAAATGCTCGAGTACAGCCGAGTTCGGATAAGATACAAGAGGATGACAAAGCTCCCGGGCATTAAGGGAAATATGCCTGACGTGCGATTATTCCGCTGGTAATCGCCACTTTCAGCACGATCCTCGATGACCACCGGAGCGCCTTTTGACCCGGTAATCAAATTTCGCTGATCGAGAGAACGGAGAAGAGGCGGTCTCGGATCACCGGGTATATCGAACTTCGTAACTTCTTCTAGAGCATCGAGAGTGGCCCCTCCGGGTACTCGCCGGTTATATATTACCGGCTGTAATGAAGACTCCAACTCGACGGCGTGCTACCGAGGCCTCGGTTCCTGCTGCTGCTGCCTTGTTTATCACCTCACCTCAAATATACAATTAACATGTTGAAAAGGCGCCCCCAGGGTCTTGGAATCGCGAGACCGTTACAGCCGACAAAGAAAGGGTTGCACGTTCTACGGGGCCCCTCTGTGTGCTCACTCGAGTTATACGTCGTACACAGCTCGTTAAAGCGTGTCTGCGTATCCTTAGCCCGCAATCCTTCTCTTCTTATCCCCTAGCTATCTTCGCTCTTTCAAAATTACCCGTTCGGTCTTTCGACTAAAATTCGTCGAACGTCGTCGTTTCGAAGGGACTTTATCAGTGAAAAAGGATCGAACGGCGTTTTCGTGATGCCCGGCTGAGAAACTGGTCTGAACACAGAAGGTGAACTTTTCCTCGCAGCAACATACAGCTGCCATTATTAAGTATAATTAAAGAGAAAGGTTGCCGTGCTGCCTGGGGGAGTCTCCTCGTGTCACTATCTCTACCCAGTTTCTTTCAATTACATACTTATCGTTCTGGATAATTCCGAGCGAGAGAATTAATCTCTGATCGTGACCGGACACGGGTTCCATATTACGCTAGGTATAGAGAGAGTGGTGAAAACTCGACGCGTAGAGTAGCAGAGGTCTCTTGCAAATGAGAATGACGCGGTCGATCATTTCGCGCGGTACTGGATTCGGCGCTTCAGGTGTTCATGCACGAGCGTGTCGCGCGATATTGATAGTCCGTCGCGTCAGGATCCCCATTTATCTTCATCCTTCAATTTCCCGTGTACACGTGCTCGATCGTCCAGCAGAAATAAAAGAACGCCGGCGTATTTTCCAAAGTACACGCGGCCAGAATGATACACCTCGTCGTCGTCGGCCATCTTTCGAGTTACCTAACTCAAGGCGGATATTGGCATAGGATCTGCTTGCAAAGTCTTTTCAGCTTTTTCTCCTCCGCACTGAGAACCGATAGACAAAAGTGTCTCACGATGTATTTTCTGCATTTTCTCCACCGAGGTATTATTTATCATCCTGCGCTGCTGCGTAATCTTTCCTCAAAATTAATGGATTCGCCGAGCTAAGAAGTTCGCCAGTTTGTAGCATCTTTAATAGCCCAACAACGTAAGCTTCTTTCCACTGGCCTTTTAGGTCAGCCTTCGATATTATTAACGATCAGGCCCGATAGACATCTTCCCGTTAGACATTGTTACGCGATGGAAGTCTGTACGCCCATCGATCATGCCGCTGCAGGGATTTCCTAGCTCGACTGACAGCTCTTTTTTTAATAATCTACCTTCATTACCGAAGCATAGAGAAATTAAACGATATCGGTCGAAACGTCGTTGCTTACACGTGCTGGAATAGAATAGAAGAGTTATCAATTTTATAAGATTTTCACTTTGGTTACCAGTGAGAATATCGGCAACGAGTTTCAAATATTAACGCCTAAACGCGTTTTTACATGTTCGTGCAGAGAAAAGTATGATATCTCTCGAACAGCAAGTGGCTGAATATTCGTGTCACCAAAAATCGTCGCTGTGCCTGTACTAAGCACTGTGTAAAATTTTTCAATAAAAATTTACAAGAGTTACTTTATTTTCTTTCTGTGGTTAATAAGTGTTAATTGAAATACAACGGAACCGGAATAAGCAAAAATGCGATACATATCCCACGAGCGTATAAATGCTGATAGACTTTTCGAAAGTTGTGCAGCGGCAGACGATAACGACGTTGTTTGCGTTGGCAATAATAAGTTGCGTTGTATCGCAGGCCCGTGCCATGTCTGTGAACGGGGCCCCGTAATTACGGCTGCCGCTAAAATTATCCCGACGGGTCGGTTTCGCGCTCAACACACGGGGTGTCCCGAGAGAAAACGACCACCTTCGTGCAAGCCCCTCGTCCACCGATTAGTATTATTAGCGGCGCTAGGCGAAATCGGTAAGCGTCCTCTGTCCTCGCCCTTCCCGCCATTTTTTTTTCCATATCCCTTCGAACGAGCGTCTACTCATGTTGCACGTGCTACATGTTGGAATTTATCGTACAGGATCGGGAAAGAGCCGGCGAAAAATCCCGGTGATTACAGTGTACCGGGAGTTTGTACGATCGAGCGATAATCGTCGTGCGGGAAAAGAGAAATCGAGTCTCGCTCTGTGCGGTAATGGTAATGATAAACCCGACCGCCTGGTATAATTAATCTCGAATAAAACGAGACAGTTTCCGAGAAACGTGCCGCCTCGAAGGGACAGGGGAAGAAGACGAACGTTTAAACCTGCGAGGATAATGGAGTCGCGGGGCTTCAACTTGTGCCTAAGGAGTACAGAGGACGAGTCTTGCTCGCGAGACTAATTGGCCATTTAATCGACGGCGGTTCACGAAAATAGCGGTCGAAGGTCGACAGGCTGGCCCGTGTCGTTGGTTCCGCCCTTGCGAGACTGAAACACGGCAAACAGCGAGCGGAAACGAGCAACAATGGTGGGGAGAGAGGGTTGGTTGGTTTGTTGGTTGGTTGGTCGACGAGGAACGAGCAGCATTTCTCTTGGCAATTTGCGAATTATTAATTTAGCCGTTCCCCTTTAACGCTACGGAGACCGCGGCTAATATTTTCCCCGAAGCCACAGGGAACACCGGCGACGAAGGCGGGAAAGAGAGAGAGAGTAGGGGTTGGTGGAATACATAGGAAGTTGTCGGCGAAGGAAGAGAAAATCATGGCTGGGCCAAAGAGTAGTGGGAAAAGGGGGGAAATAGGTGATGGAGGGATCGGAAGGGGGCTGAGATAGGGAGTTGGAAAATGTAGATGGTCGTCTGGTATCGCCGCGGAACCCTTGATTACATACCGTGCAAACGCACGCGGAACAAAGTTCGCCGTCCAAACACGAAATAAAGCTAGGTAACAAACTCGATTCCGCTCGTTGAGCCACCGTGGTCCGTGCAGCCACGCGACAAATATTATCGGGAAGGAAACTATTGTCGTGTTGCGTTAGAAATATTTGTGTTTTGTTCTTGGTGAGAATGTTAATGTGGCACCGAATGGAAATTCGTAATAATATCGCAAGCAACGCTATACCAGAATGTCAATTAACCTGTTAATTGAGAAAGACGATTGGTTCGCCAATACTTCGATTTTTAACCCTTTCGCTCCGAAGGGCGTATATATACGCCCTCGAAGAATGAACATTCATATACGAAGAGCGTATATATACGCTCTCGAAAAGTGGGCGCTCGGGTACGAAGAGCGTACATATACGTTCATAGCATATATACCTTTGTTTCATATTTTACATATGAGATACTTTCGTTCATCGAGTACCTGACAACGCTGCATGCCTCAAACAGTTGATTGTCACGAAATGAAACACTATCGACAAAATATATTGTGTTTTTTTTTTAACAATACACGCCTTCAGTTTGCTTTAAGACATCATCAGCGACGGATGTACACCAGCAATTTACAATTTTAAAGCGATTAGAAGTTTTAAACGAATTTATAATTCTAAAATAATTTTGATAGCTTAATTTTAATAACTCACAGGTAAATACTCAGTTTCTGCCATTGTGATAATATTATGTTGAATTCTAAAGTATCTAACTTATAAATTTTTATATTTTCGAAAATAAAATGATATTACTAAATGTAATAAATTTCATTGTAAAATTTCGAGAACAATAAACGACTTGTAATTACTTCGTAGCATTCCGTACCTCAGTGTCTACTAGTCAGTAATGCGCTCCGTTCATAGCGATCATATTTTGTCACAAGCGCGCCGTAGCGAAAAGGTTAATTGCACATTTTCAAAAACTGAAACGAATTATGATTGGTCAGAATTCCTGCCCATTTTTTATTATAAACTAGACATATTTAATTTTCTTTTAAACCCAA